TTCCCACTCTTGGCTGGAGACCATTTTTTGAGAGTTCCAGTTCGTGTGGGTTTGGTTTGCTGCATTCGAGTTTGTTGTGCAATCAGGGAAATGAGTTTTAAGAAGTAGTTCTAATGTTTCCATTCCAGTTTTAGGGCCCTATTCAGTAATTTATCGTTTATGGACGACATCGTTAAGCTAACGACAGTTCAACCAACGACTTTTATAACGATAATTTTTGAAACTCTATTCAATAACAAAGTCGTTACGTTGTTTCTATAGTTACCAAACATGAACGATAATTTCTAGTAAGTTGGTATTATAATTTAGTGTTTTGTGCAGGGGTGGGAAACTGGTATGCGCAGGTCAAGGATCAATCAACCACGTCCGCGTGGCGCTGCAGTCGGGTGGTGGGGTAGGTGGTGGGAGTGTAAATGACAGGTGAATATTGATTTTGGGGGGGTGTCATGGCGTCTTGGCTCAAACCAAACGTGTTTATTTATATTGGTGACTTGGTTGTGTTCAGTTGTGTTTTCATTTCCAATTTGCTTAATTGATTTAGTTGACCACTGTTAGTGAGCTTGTTTTTCCATTATAAATTTGTGCGTTTTGAACTGTTATCTTGTGCTTTTTCCGCTGTTATTTCGTGCTTTTCCATAAAGATGCGTAATTATAGAAAATGTTGTGTACCGAATTGCCTTGATGTGAACAACAAGATGCATCGCCTGCCCCACCCTAGGAATGAACCCGATTTATTTGAAATTTGGGCACTTGCTGTTCGTTGTCCAAGATTTAATAATAAAACAAAACTACAAATTTATTCCACCTTTGTAGTATGTCATAAACATTTTGAAGAGAAGTATAAAGTAGTTGGCTCTCGTCGAGGTCTAACACCTGAAGCATTTCCAACGCTATTCCTACCAGCAGTTCCTGGAAGAGTAGCGGATGGACTTTCCTCAAATAACGTAGAAATTGAATATGTTGATCAAACACCTTCTACTTCAAGTAAAGGTTCGAAGAAGAAGCAGAAGCAGACTAATAATATATGTTGGACTTCTTTTCGAGAAGGAAAGTTAGTAATCTACTCATTTATTTTATACTTATACTGTGTATTTTCTGTTTCATGACATTTGGGGTTGCAAAGCTGTATCGTAGAAGAAGAAGCAGACTAATAATATATGTTGGACTTCTTTTCGAGAAGGAAAGTTAGTACTTATTTATTTTATACTTATTGCTGTGTTTGAGAATCCACATCAGATGCATTTTTTACATCTCGAGCGTTTTTTTATCCACATACCTATATATAAAACGTTTATTTAGTCAAAAAAACTATTTTTTACATGTCAATACATCTTCACGTTTAAAATATAAAAAATACCTAAATATAGAATCAACATACATTTAAAATGCAATAAAAAATACATAAGATACAGTACACTTACATGTCAACTATACAAAACAATAAAAGAACAAGAAAGAGAAAAAAAAACGTCAATAGGTGAACAGGTATTCATGCAGTTTTATTTTAAATATTGCCACATTTGAAGAACATTTAATATCCTCAGGCAAATTATTAAAAGCCTGTACACCTTTAAAAAACACTGAATTTTGTGTACATTTTTCTTGTTACCTGTTTAGGTTCATGAACATCCTGATTATAACTTAAAATATTTTGTAAATATACTCTGGAGATTCCTGATTTAATTTTAAATATAAAAAGCAGGGAATAGAATAGCAAATATTTTTTAACAGTCAACCACTGAAGCACATTCAACATGGAATTGATTGGTTCCAATCTCGAACAGCTCAGTATTATCCTCAGACCTCTATTCTGCAACTTTTGCAATCATTGCAACTCATTCTGGTTGAGCAAATACAGTATAGTGGCACAATAATTAAAATAAGGTAATATTAAGAGTATTATAAATTATTATTTTAGTCCATTTGCCGAGATGTGGAGAACAGCGCCTCAAATAGTTTATTTTAAATCGGACACATCTGTCCCATTACATTTACGTAAATTGAATCACGTGATCAAAGATTTACTACATCTCAGTTGCATCCGATGTGGATTCTTAAACGCTGCATATACTGTGAAATTTGTGTTTCATGACGTTTGGGGTTGCAAAGCTGTATCGTAGATGTTGGACTTATTAAAAAATAAAGTATTCCTCGGACTTATAATTTTTTATTAATACATTTATTTTAATGAGATTGTACTTATACTGTCTTTCTTTTTTCACAGCTAAAGTTCTTCACAAAATGATGGACAGTGTTGTATCCTGGAATATGTAGCAGCCATCCAGCTACTTCATACATAATACAATTTTCATATACATTACATTTTTTAAATATTGGATTTGTATTATATATATTCTTTAATAAATTTATTTTTTGAATATTCTTGTTTTTTTTATCTAAAAACTGTTAGCCAAATTAAGATTTGTTCACACAAACTGCATTTTTGCTTTATTATAGCGATATTCGCTATAATAAAGCAAAAATGCAATTTGTGTGAACAAATCTTAATTTGGCTAACAGTTTTTAATGCGGATAATTTTTACTGTCAAATTTGAATAGCCCCGCGCTTTTCTTCTCTTCTTCTTTTTATTATTTTCTCTTCTTTCATATGGCCTCTTACCAGACAAGGACTTAATTGAAAAAAAATCAACCACGTCCACCAGGTGCCGCTAAAAACTCTATCATCCTTTTTTAACATGGGAGTTACCGTTCTAAGAGTAAGTGTTCTGTGGTTTTGTGATAAAAGAACGTATGTTGATGATTATACCGGGTGTTTAAATTAAAGATATCGCCGAAAATATTCATTTTATAAAAAAAAGTATCAGACAAAAGTTTTATAGTTTTTTAGGGGAAACATTTTGGCTAAATTAATTTTTTTATAGCTGACCATAATATGGCCATATCGAGGTGGATTTTTTTTTTTAATTGTAACCCAATTTTTTCATAAAATAATAAGAAACTTCTAAAGGAAACATTTTTTTATTGGATTTCTACTTATTGAGTAACACCCAAAAAAACTATAAAACTTTGTTTTTTTTTATAAAAGGAGGTATTTAACTGTAACCCTTTAATTTAAACACTCGGTATATTTGAGATTTTTTTGGAACGTAAAATAAAAATTCTACCAGTAGATATATTCATTTGTTTTTCAGAATATATTAATTATTGTTCTTAACCTACAACACGATCAGGGGGTCGATTCTCGATTCGTAGTAATTCTGTTTCTCGCGGGTCATTTTTGCTGGTCGTATTGTATGTAGGGTTTATTTAAATGAGTATGGATATATTAAAAAAAACTGAGAACTATTCCATAAGAATACAAAAAACAACTCGAGAACAGTACAAGTTGTATTTATTGGATTTGAAAGACAAACCAAATTTGTGTAGGTTACGGAGAAGTATTATAGGTACTTCCATAATATAGGTTCTGTTACTGTTTCGCAAAGAACAGCACTGTTAATAAGAATCGAATAGTAAATGGTTGAGTGGGCAATCCTAACTTTGAATCAGATTTATTTTTAAAATAATTAAATAAATTAGAAAAAAATTCCTTACAAATTGTACTTGCTGTATTAGGTAGATGGCAATTTAGTTGTAAAATTTGTAAAAAAGTGCTTTTATTATTTAAAACAATGAAAAATGAGAGGGAATGCAAAAATCACTATAACGACACTTCATATTATTAACGACAGCTCTTTGGCTATCGTTGATGAACGACAATTTTACAACCATATTTGTCTATTTTCAACGACAATCGTTGTCTACTGAATAAGAAAAGTCGTCTGTGAACGATTATCGTCTATTAACGACGTCGTTCAGAGTTACTGAATAGGCCCCTTAGTGTATTCCCCTGTTTGGGTTTTTAAAGTCTCCACAGGGTTTATTGGATTTTTTGCTAGAATGCGGTGGAGTCTACATCCTTCAGTTGTATTTTCAATTTCCTGACAGAATGTTCTCCATGAATCCCTCTTAGATTTCCTAAGAGTTTTGTTATACTCTGTGTTTCGGTGTATTCCCCCCACTCATTCCTCTTTTTACCTTATTAAAAAGTTTACGTGTTTTCCTTCCGAGTTTGGCGAATTCGGTGTTCCACCAGCTCACCTCCCTAGAGGTTTTCCTGTTCTTTAACGAGCAGTTATTGTGATATGATGTTATAATTGCGTCCCGTAGTTCTGCAACTTCATCTATATCATTTTTAGTATTAAGAGTTATTTTAACGGTTTTTAACATACTAATGAGTGTTTTTTAAATGTATGTCATGTGAAACGTGTGTAATTATGCAGGACAGTAGGTTTTGATTTTTCAATGCTGCAAATATTACAATAGCAATAATAATTAAAAAATTAAAGAGGGGATAATTTCCTGACCGTAGTAGAATTTTTTTTATAAACAAATAAAACGTCTTTAGTATGATCGGTCATATTTTTATTAATTTAGCACTGAATATGAACACACCTCTGATCAATCTTCTTTTTTTAACTTTTTACATTTCTGTCTGTATATTTTATCTTATTTTTATTTTATATTATATCTATTAGTATTTAATATTAGATCATGTATTCAAAAGCGGCATTTATAAATTGCATTCAGGATTACCTATTTAATAAATTTCTTTCTGAAAATAAAAAAGGGACTTTTTTATTATAATCTGGAACCTTCACACCTGGTCTATAAAAAACAACTTTGTTTAACAGCATTTTTTACATCATCACTAATGCACCGCACGACATGTGTAAATTTGTGAGGAAGGAAAATATTTAATTTTTACGAAAATTAGATATTTTGTATATTTTGATTAAAAATAAAAACTACAATAAGTTTTCGAATTAATATATTTCACGTTTTATATAAAAAAAAGTTATAAAAAAGTAAACTTGTTCAACTCTATTTTTCTTGATTTTAGAATCTGTTTTTAAATATTTGAATCATAACATTAATTAAAAAACAGTTTCCCAAAACGGAAAAACTGTATTATAAACTTGAATTAACAAAAAAAAAACTTATGGAGAACACAAACAAAATTCACTAGTACATGTTTCTAGATGTTGTTTTCTGGGTAGGCATTCATGAAACCAACGGTGATCACTTAAATTTACAATTTTAAACTGAAGTTTGCACTTAAAACATAGCACTGGCTGCTCCATTACGTGAGTGTTTTGTAGATGGTTCCATAATTCTGAACATTTTAAGTACTGTTTTTTGCAGAAAGTGCACCTGAAATAATCCGAATTACATAATAAAAAAATTAATTTATTAAATGAAATAAAAATTCCTGTCACTGGTGGGATTCAAACCTGAGACCCTTCGATCTCAAAGTCGTGACTCTAACCACTAAGCCAACCATCCCCATTATTTTTAAAATTGTATATTGGGTTACTTGCAATGTATTAAGAGTAGCGTTAAAAGCCCCTGTTAATGCTAATACAATATATTAAAAAGGATACCTCTAAAACTACCTTGCAAATCTCTCAACGTATATTTTTTTGTAAACAATAGGCCACAACAATTAAAGATTAAAAATCCAAGCTATTAGTTCTGTAAACTACAAAGATGAAAACAGTAACGACATCAACCCAACTTGTATAGGCACAGCCCATGAAATAAATATACATTTATCGCCAACCGTCAATAGAATCATACATTACCATACCGATTTGCGGAAGTAAACAAACACTTTATTTCACCGTAAAATCAAATATTTTATCTGCCACTATTTATCATTATATCCATGGCCGTCTGACAAAAATAGTATGTAATTGATTTGTTTTGTAGTCGCTTTTATTTTTCTGTTTGTTTACTTTGTCATTCTAAAATGTGATGTTATAATCTCCTTTTTTGTTAATTATAATTTTTTACGTTTGGCGATAAAAGTTTGTACTGACCAGGTCAACAAAGCTCCGCTCAAAATCTCAGACTGGTTCGATAAACAATCACTTTGCTGACTTGGTACATAAATAACTATAATTCAAATATAATAAATTGCACATGAACAGGATTCAAAGCTCAAGGTCGCCAGTTTAAAACAAACGATTTTCGACCTATATCCTTAAAGCATATAAGACTAGAGGTGTTACTCAAATGAGTTTGTTATGTACTGAGGGGGGTAACCTCTTCGATGTTAGGTACACACGACGCATTATGTGTATTTCTGTTTGGCACTGGTTTCAAAACCAACTGGCCAGTCAATCTTAAATTAATTTTAATAAAGTTTATTTTGTGTTAATTCAATTTTAAGTTCTATGCTTACAATATTTCACAGTTCACATTTTATTTAAAAAATACAAATTTCCCTTGTTGGAAGGCATGGTAGGTCCTTATATTAAACACACAGTGAATATCCTTTATAGTTCATTTATTAAAAGAGCCGTAATATTATAGTGTTGCTTAGTCGAGTTCTATTATATAACTGATATCTACTGGATGTTATTGGTTTCAATCGATCTTAAAAATACACATATATATTGTTGACAGTAATATGAAGAATAACTGACTCAACAAACAGAATATTATTTTTGTATAACAACCAACATCTCTAAATACATTAATAAGAAGTAAGTCCTATAATAGGTTTTTTCTAGCTCATGTTTTTTACTTGTCTTTGATTTTTTCGCCTGTTTTTGTTTTTTGCTTGTTTTTGTTTCTGTTTTTTTTATTCTTGTTTTTTTTTTGCATTTTTTGCTTTTTTTTGTTTTATTTTTTATTTTTGTACATATTTTAATTCTTTTCGTCAGAGCTTTAAATTTAAGGAGTTTACATGATTATAAATAATTTTGTATATAATGAGATTCTTGAGCTCGAGAAGATGTGACAAATTAATAGGTAGTTGGACATTATGTTGAATAAGTTTGGTATATAGATTTGATATGTCAATATCATTTAAAATACATTCTAAAAGTAAATGTTGTAAATCGGCTACCTCGCCGCAGATGCATTCATCATTGTCTACCAATCCCATTCTTCTTTTATAATTTGGAGTCAGGCAAGGATTACTTCTAATTCTACAAGTCGTTCTAATAAAACTTATGTTGCTGAATTTGCTAAACCATGGTATGGAGGGTATCTTGCTTTGAATGTTTTTAAAAAATTGACCTTTGTCTGAACAGTTATAATTGTCTTGCCACTTACTTATTTCAAATAATTTAATATAGCAATTTAAATCGCCTTTTGGAACTTGATATGAATTTATGATGATATTATCATCAGTTCCTTTTTTTGTCAAATCATCTACAATTTCGTTATTTTTAATTCCAATGTGTGACTTTATCCGATATAACGTTATATTTTTTCCCTTTTTCCTTGCCTCACTATTTAGAGCAATAATTTCATAGATAATATAATTTATTTCGTTGTTAATTGTAAAATCTCTTAATTTTTGAACAATGCTTTTGCAGTCCGTAAAAATTATATAATCTATTTCTTTTTGTTCTATACATATTTTGAAAGCCTCTTTAACTGCTATAAGTTCTGCTGTATAAATTATCATTAAATCGGGTAATCTATTTTGAATTTTAATAGCTTTTTAAGGATAATATATAGCATAGGCAACTTTTCCGCCTTTTTTGAACCATCTGTGTATAGCTTTTGGTAATTTTCCCAGTAATTTTCAACATATAATAAATGATCAATTTTTGTCAGGGCGTCAGTTGCTTGAATCTTACTGAAATGACAATTGAACGGTACTAAATAGTTTTCGTAATTTAACTTTAAATAGGACATATGTGTTCTTTTGAATTAATTCCAGTAAATATATTTGAATAATCAAGAAAACTTTCTACAAATAATGGCACTTTTTTCTTTTTCCAATATTGATGTGTTAAGCAACTGGTAGTTAATTGTACAATTTTATTTAGCAATGTTTTACAACTTACAACTAAAAGGACTATAAATTTAATTTCTAAAAATTGTCTGCGTAAAATTAATGAGGGCTCACAAAGTTCTGCTTCCATAACCTTGATAGGTGTGCTAGGCAGATAATCAATGCATAGTCTTAGAGCTTTATTTTTTATTCGTTCAATTTTTTGAATTATGGAATTTGATGCAGAGCCATAGAATATTGATCCATAATCCAAGATAGATCTAATTAATAATAATAATTCTCATTTATTGAACTGAAAATTCAGTCCAATAGGCTATCTATCGACCGAAGTCCTTCTGCCTATGATCTAATTAGATTTTTAAATAATAATAATAAAAAAGAGATATTTGGATCTGCTCCCCAATCACTAACGTTTACAGTCTTGAGAATATTCATAGCATTTTCAGTCCTTCGTAAAATGTAATTTATGTGTACTTTCCAGTTCAATTTGGCGAGTTAGGAACACGACGATTTATGATTGGCGAGTTTAAATAACAGGCGTATTTGTGATAAATGACATTTCATTTGACGTCTTGTTTTCGTTTTTAAAAATATCGTTTTTTGTGACTTCCAAAGACAATTTGAACGAGGTGTCTCTTTGATAAACTTTTTAAGTATATTTTTATTATAAAATAAGTGCTAATCATGACGAAAGCTTGTACAGTTTGCAATAATAAATTCTTAAAAGGATCCTGGTTGACGTTTCACAAGTAAGTATTCTATATTCCATAAACGTAACTTAAAATGGGAAAATGTTTGTAGAATGTTCTTCATTTGAGCATCACCGCAACTGGTTGCGTTCGACAGAAAATAGTTGTTTTCTTTGCGATAATGCTTAATTAATGTCTTTTTGTATAATGTAAAATGGATTAGATATATTTTTGTATTGTACATATTGTACAACCAAACTGTCAAGTATTTAATTAACAGCATTTCTAATAACACATGTCTGTGTTCAAACCATTTTCAACTGAACATTATTATAAAGGTAGCAATAGATTAATAAAAGGATCTATACCAAAAGCTGTACCTGTACTTTGCTTTAGAAATGAGTAAGTTTTTCCAAATAAACTGTAAATAATTGTAATTCGATATTCATATTATGTGGCTTTCGAAACACACTTATTTCCTTATTTTGTTAAATACTAAACATATATTATTTTTTTTTTGTGTCATCGGCATCAACTGTATTATTATTATATTATTGTTTACAGGCTCAAAAATAACGACGGTAAAGAAAATATGCCCTTATCTGCAGTTCCCAATATTGGAAATTTCGAAGTTGGAAAAGAAAGATAGAAGGCTAATGAAAAGGTATGATTAGCTCTTATATTTTTAAAAACCAAACAGGTGCTGGTAATAATAGCCTTTAAAGCTTTTGAAATTTATCATTAACATATCTGCAGAATACATTTTATGTACATTTCATGTACATTTCATTTGTAGGGACGAAAATATGCAAGACAGGAAACTGCAATCTTTAAAATTTGATAATTTGATTCATCTACACTAACTGCTTCTGAGAGGGAAAGATAACTTAAAAAAGAATGTTTGTTGAAGTCAAATAAGATATTTTCTCATATAATCAAGCATTATTATGATTTCAGGAAAGTGATGCTTAAGAAAAAAATTTAAACAGTTATTTTTTGATAGAAAATTAGCTCTTGCCCAAAAGAAGATTCTATGCAAAAAATATATAATTAAAAACTTATTTATATATGTTATTTAAGATCAAATTAGTTTATTTTTTAGGCTACTCTTGTAACTGGATCTAAGGAATTGGTCAAGAGAGCAATTAAAGATCATTCCAGAACAAAATACTCCCCTGAATTAAGAGCGTTTGCACTAACTTTAAGTTTATACAGTATGAAGGCTTATACATATGTGAGGGAAAAATTTAATAATTGTTTCCCACATCCCAGTACTTTATTAAAGTGGTATTAGGCTGACGGTTTTCCTGGATTCACTGAAGAGCATTGAAATTTAAAGACGGTGAAAGTCAAAAGTTTATAAGAAATCTTTTGATGAATGAAATGGCAATTATGCAAAAGGTGGAATGAATAGGTCAAAAATATATTGGATATCCCAGAAAACACACCAAATCCCAGAGATATCCACAGAATATCTTTTGTGGATATCCAATATTTCCACAGGATATCAGAAATATCCCGTGGATCTAATATTGATATCCAAATCTCCGTCTATATCCAGAATATAGAAGATATCCTATGGATATCCAGCAAAATATATAATGGGTATCTCCCAGACAATACAAGAAATCCCAGAGATATCCACAGAATATATTTTGTGGATATCCAATATATCCAGTGGATTTAATATGGATATCCAAATGTCCGTATATATCCCAGGATATAGAAGATATTCTATGGATATTCAGCAAAATATTTTATGGGTATCTTTAGTAGAGGTTCATAAGTAACCAATGATTATTGAATAACGTCGAAAGAAAATAGCAGAGATAGAAAATATTTTCAACAATTTGCCTTTGATTTTGCCCACTAAGGAGAAAGTCATCCTTATTAGGACTCTTCAGCAATAAATAGAAATTCTCGACTCCAGTCTCTAATGGAGTCTGATTGCAATACCAATTTCGATTGAACTCAATTACAGCGGGTTGAGCATGAATAGATATTCAACGAGCGAAAGTGGTATCGCCATCTATACTTAGTAAGCAAAATCAAAGGTCGCTGTAGTACCTAGTTCAGAAACTGGGTGGAATAAAAGCCAGGCGGGCTATTCTTAAAAAAGGAAATAATTCTAATCCTAATAAGGACGAAACCGGTCCAAGAATGACTTTCTTCTCAGTGAGCAAAATGAAAAATTACATCTAGTGGATATCCACCATGGTTTGCGTTCGCGTCTAGACTTTGATATATTTAGTGGATGTCCATGGAATATTAAATACACCTTAAAAAAATTAATTTTAAATATCTGAACGGTACTATAAGCCACAATGGCGTAATTCTTTTAATAATTTGCTATGTAATTACTATTATTTATGGACATTTGCATGTCTATAAATTACATCTCATGGATATAAAATAGATATCCACCATGGCCTGGATATTCAGTGGATATTGGGATGTTCAGTAGATATCCAAAGGATTTGGTGTGTTGTCTGGGATGTTGATGGTGGCAGCAAGTTTCAATAAAATCAGTCAGTTGAAGCAAAAGAAGCTATTGTGTTCTGCTTGTAAAGTTAATAAATATGTCTATTACGAATAGTTAGGTAACTGCTGTATTTTATATTATCTCTTGTATGTATATATAGTATCTACTGTGTATATATTAGTAGTATGTAAGTTTTTGTGTGATAATTTTAAAATGTTTTGTTCTCTAATATAGACAGTAAAATGTAACTGAACATTTTTTGCCTGAAAATGTGTATGATATATTTCACGAATAAAATGTATTTTGTCTGTATTCATCCCATTCTATAGGTAAATGGTTTTTAACTGTTGGTGGTGGTGACCTAAACAAATAAATAATAAATAAATTTCATGGGAATTCGGTAGCATTAATGTTTATTTCATTTTTGTTTTGTTTTATAAATAGCTTACTTCTACACACATATATTATATTTAGGCACAACCAATGACTATGTTTTGATTACATTGATTTTATTATAAAACATGTACATTTAATATTATTACTACTAGAAATAAATTATTGTTATGTTTTTATTTTTCTTTTATTTACTCTATATAAAAAAGATTTCAGTTTCTAAATGATCTACTTGAACTAAACGAAAATAATGTGTGATCACGAATTCATTTGAAAGCATACAGTTTAAAAACATATCTACAATAAAAAAAGTTTTCAATCCTAAACAAACATAATATAGTCATTTCCAGTAAAACATGTATTCAATACAGTGTATAACGAAAGCTTATCATAAATAGAAAAAGAACATTGTTCAATAAATTTGTTATTAATCATGCGAATCAATTATCTAAATTATTAGTTATTGTGAAATTCCAGTGCAGAAATGGTAAACATAAATACGAACCCTTTCAAACCGTAGGCCATTGAGAATGGAGTACCTACCCCTCTCCCCTCACGCCAAAAGTGATCACGCTTATAAATAACAAAATACATTGAATGATATCTCTAGTCTTATATGCTCCAATAACAGTGTTCAAAGTAGGGCTGCCTATACTTCAGTAGGAAAGCAGTAAAATACTGTTTTCAAATTTAGTGGCAAAATCACAGTGTCAGCACATTCTGTTATATATCCATTTCTTTTTTGACATAAACCTTTATGCAGACAACTGTGGTAGTGAACCTGATTCCCCATAAAAACAGCATACTAGTGGATTGTAAGTTTTAAGGACAGTAAATCATTTAATAATAAACAAATCTTACCAGTAGGTAATAGTGGGAAATAAGTTAACAGGTTCAGAAACATCAAATGGGACTATTTTTTGGTCCTTTATACCAATAAAAGAGTATAATGAGAGATTTAATTTAGGTGTTAAACATTCTCCAAAACAAATAGCCTGGTTGCTAAAAATTAAATGTTATTTTTAATATCTTAATGTAATTATGTTTAAAAAAATTGATTACCTGGTTTTTATACTTTTGTTCCTAGCATAAATTGCATTTCCAATATTAAAAAATACACTAGTATTAGTTGCCATACTATTTTTTTTAATATCAACTATATCCAAAATGAAATTTTCCAATACCATTTCTAATTCTTTTTGAATGTCTTCATTAGGTGCCTAAAACAAACAAAATATACACAAATTATACAGCCACTTACTTTGAACTCAAAATTTCTCTCAAATATAGCATTTTTACTGAGCAAAAAACGAATTTTCTCCAATAATTTTCAAACCTAATACCTTATTATGTCTAGTCAATTCATGGTTCATAAACAGGTTCCCAAATTTTTAACAAATAAACTATACCTTACGAGTTGAACAAGGTATAATAGGAACATGCATATATCAGGCAGAGACCAGTGTCATTTAGTAATTTTCTGACATATGTCTTACCTGCAGACTTCTTAAAAAAGTAATGTAACTATTGCAATATTCCTTAATGGAATTTAACGTATAAGCTGTTCTTGGAGCACCATCTTTAATTATGCTAATATCTTCAATACAGTTATCACTTTTTTTGTAGAAAATTTTTTCTGAACTAAAAGTTAAGCATCTTTTAAACTCGTGCTGATTGGTCCTTTTAAAATGAAGATGGTTTGACTTAAATTCCACTTCAATACAGGGCCAGTTGATCATTTGTCTTACATTCAAGGGAGTGTCCCAAAGAGTGTTTACCTTATATTCTCTGACTATTACTGAATCTAAAAAATGATGTATAAGTTAAAAATACAAATTTATGTTTATCTCTATTTTTGTGATTTTGTATCCCTTTTTCTTGGAGTGAATCAAGATATATTTTTTTTATTTAAGAACAAACCCAAAATACTAATCACATGTTGAATATAACAAACGAATGTCTTATTAGTTTACAAATACACTTGTACTGAAAAGATAATATGCTTAGTCAAGATAAAACTGAAAAATTAATTTTTTGAGGGGTTATTTTTTGGTCTCATTCTTCCAGACACAGACATGTTACTGGGCTTAAGTACACAATTACTGTATTTTTAGGACTATAAAGACGCACCACCTTTTTACATAGAAAAATGGACTCAAATTGTGGGTGCCCCTTATGGTCCGAAGGTAACACTAATAGAATATGCAGTTTTTGAAAGGAGTGACAATAGTTCAGACAAAAGTAATACAAATAGTGATATTAACGAGACAACTGATAGTACTGAGAGTGAAGATGAACTGCATACTACATTGTAGTCGGCCGGCAATAACCTGTTTTGCAGATGAGTCACCATCAAATAAAAATTGTTATAGTATAGTACAAGTTATGTTAACAATAAATAAAAATTATGATCCAAATGAAACATTAAAATATACTTTTCTAAAAATCATCTTATAAATCTGAGATGCGTCTTATCGTCCTATAATCCGAAAAATACGGTAATTTTAACAATTTTGTAAATTGTTTCTGTACATTTTTTGTTTACGAATAAATAAATAAATAAATATAGAATTGTAATAAGTACTCAACAGATTTAATGCTTACCATTAGGCCCCTCACAAAATACTAAAGAATTAAGCACTTTCGGTGGTCCAAAAATCTCAATGCTAAAAGGAGCAGTAACTTTTTCAATGTTTGGGTTAGTCTGAGTACTGGTATCAGTTTTTTCCACTACATTCTCTTCAAATTCGACAGAGTTATGTTTTAACAGAGCTAATGCTTTATCATAATCATTTTTTATCATAAAATTCATTTTAAATATAAGGTATTCTTTAAATCGTTTAAACCAATTCTCAAATGTTATTTCTTTCTTTTGATAATGGACTATCTTTTTCCAACCAGGCCATGATGTTATGAAATGCACTAGCATGTACGGAAGAATATATTTGACTCTAGGTTTTAAATAATTTAAATTTATCCCCAGACCTTTGTTTAAAATATTGTTAAGGGTCGCAATTTCAAGAGACAATGGTTTGCCTTCAATTATTTCTTTAAAACACTGATCTAACGTTATTTCAGGAACTGATTTTTTTTTCACAGTCTCCATTTTAAAGTTATAATAAATGTTTGAAATCTTGGAACTGTAATTTAAAACGTTTGTTTCTTGCTAAATTATAAATATCCCGTCCCGGACCCCAAACATAAACAAACAAAAAAAAAACAAATTAGGCTTAGGCATTCAGTGTTGTTCCTAGGGATTTTTGAATTGTACAACTTTCTGTATCAAAATTGTACACTTTTACCACAGCTTATACAATACAGCTCCACAACTCCGTGTCGGCGTCTTTGATCTGGCGGTCGAGAACCAAGCAAGACGGAATGGTGCTATCTCTGTTAGATTCAAGGGAAAAGTCGGGCCCGGATTAAACAATTTTTTTAAAATTGAAAAAATTGAAAACCTTGGCGTAATAAGGTTGGTCACATGCCATATTAAGTAAGTTTTGGGAAATTACATTTTTAATTTGTTTTAAATCTTTCAAAAAATATAATTAAAAAAATTATTTAAATATAAATATTACGAAAAATAGCACATCTTTCGGATTAGAGGTAAAATAATTTATATATGGCTAGTAAAATCCTCATTAACAAATGTTTTGAGCTAAAACAGTCACTTCACGACAAATTGTGGCTTGGATCCATTTTACACCAAGGGCTTCAATTGTTAAAGAATTGTGTCACGCTCGTGGATGCAAATCAAGTGGTACCCCCGTGTCTCTGGCAAGTGTTACTCTTCGCGCAAAGGGTTTATACCTAGATAAACGAATGCTTCGACTGAGGTCTGGGAACTCTATGATATTTTGGAATTATAAAGAATGTGTGCTTTTGTTTTAACAATATTGGTTATATTTAGATGTATTCTTATTATTTGAAATACAGATTTGTAGAAGTTATACTTTGACACTTTTTATTAATATAATATATTAAATTTTTATCTGACCATACCGAAGTAGGAAATTTTAAAACTTTATAGTAATGTGAAATTTGAATTACAATATTACAAGATATAACCTAATTAGTACTTATTTTAGGTAGGTACTAAATTTGTACTTGGAGAAAGTAATATCGATTTTTACAAGAAAACTTGAAAAGTAAATTAATTTAAATCCTATTTCTGATGTAAAACTTAAACCAAGAAAACAAATAAATTGTGGATATGATAGCCATATCACACAAAGACGAAGTTTGAGCACGACGTCGTATGCGGAGTACTCAATCGTCTGATTGTGATATGAACAATCTACTCGATATGGTCAGTATATTTTTTCTACGACCCACTAACGAAAATCTACAAATTTAAAAAATTATTTTAGGTTATTTAGACAAAATAACTAATTTTAAAATAATTTACGAAGTTGACTAATTTATAAAATAAAATAAACATGAAAAATTAATTAGTCCTCGGCCTAGATTCGATCCCGGACTTTTCGCGTGGAAGGCAGATGCTCTGCCTTCATCTTCACCGAAACTTTCAGGACTTTAGTTTTAATACTCGTAATTAAATTAGTATCATGTAGTTTAATTAAAATTTATTTTTTTTAAATGTGGACACAATAGAAACAAAAATGCTATTATTTATCGAGTCTGCACAAAAATTTTAATGTATATTTAATATCAATAACTAAAATATATATTGACAATTAGTTTAACAGAATTGTCACTTATTTAAAAAAATTTAAATAATAGGAGTTGGGTGACCAAAATATGAACTGTGATTTGTAGATTTAATTTTGTTAAAGTGTTCTTACTACCTAAAATGGATATGAAATATATTCGTAGTTGAACACAATAACATACTTTTTCGTTTTGTAGTATGTGCGTAGATTGGCTAATATCCATGCACAGATTACAAAACGAAAAAGTATGCTATTGCCTTCAATTGAACGAATATATTTCATATCCATTCTAGGTAGTGAGAACACTGCAAAAAAAATAAATTCGCCAATCACCGTTCATATTTTGATCAACCGACTGCTATTATTTTTAAAATTTTAAATAAATGACAATTCTGTCAAACTAATTGTCAGTATATTTTTTAGTTATTGAGATTAAACATACAATAAAATAAGTTATTCTTTTGGAAAACGTTAGCATGGATGACTAAAGGGTATTGGGTTAATTAATTCTAAAAGTGTGGTACAAATGTTATTTTTTGTAGCCAATTCTTCAAAATTATTTTGAAATATCTTTTCAATATTGAATATTAGTTCTACAAATTCATCATTTGACAGTTGCAGATTTCCAAATGTATCTGAATTGGCGTTATCATATGCCTTTAAAAAGCAATAAAAAGAAAAATCATCTATTTCAACGTGATCTTTGTTATATTTAAGACAGGTATCGCAGGAGTGGATCCGCAAGGCTTTTATTAAAAGGTAACCACACACATACCTGATAACAATTTTCTGTAGCAATTCGTCTTTACAATAATTTAGGGTGTTAATAATTTCATCATAAAATAAAATACAAGGTGTTCCATTTAAAAAACATACATTTTAATTTGCCAGGCAAAAACGTGACACCCTGTATATCCAAAGATATTTTTAAAATATGTAGGTATTTTTCAAATCCATATAACTTTTATTTCTTGCGTGTCTACAACAAAATAATGAACAATAACGCACTAATGGGACACCCTGTATAAATTATATTTTTAACAATGAAAATTTCTTATAATGTGGTACTTATCGGTTTGGGTCCTTGGGAAAACTAAAGAATGTTTTCTTGCAGGTATAACCCTTATTAAAACAGCTTTTGACTGCACAAACAGAATGATGTCTTTTTTTTTTCATTCATTCATTCTACTCACAGCTAAAGAGTCACCAAAATAATAACAGTAACTTTAACTCAAACAAAATCTACGAAATTATAGGCTCCACGAAATTATACAATCAACGAAATTATACGCACGACTCAACACCTTACCTAAGTACACTTCTGAACGCCAAAACCGTCTTTTCCCTTCGAAGGCGGAGCTTAAGCGATGCGCGACGAAACGACGCAAACCGTTGCCGCCAAGAAAGTGTTTTAGCTGTATTGTATAAGCTGTGCTTTTACGTTCGATTGTACAACCACTAAATCATCTTCTTCTTTTTTAGTAAGAGACTATGGCCTACTACTTCCCGATGCTTAAAATTCTTCTTTTTTCCAGTTTAAAATATATTTTCGATGTAAAATGGTGAACTGATTGGTCGCGAATGGCGTTAGATTTAAACTTTTATATGAATATATATGAAAATAGGTCCCCTGGGGAGCACTCATTTCTCTCAAGATTCTCATCAGAAATGTCATACGTCAATGTGGAAACGCTGTTTTTAAAGGCCTCGAGGATTAAAATTCTTAGGAGGATATTAATTATCTCTAAATAAACCGTGAGAAACAATCAGTGAGTTTACACTGGCCCTTAGGACCCCAAAAATACTGTTTTACGTTGACGTATGACATTTCTCTCGAGAGAAATGAATTCTCTCGACTTTGAAAATAGCCCCCCAGGGTTGTCAAGACATGCGCAAAACGAAAGTGAGCTCGTAAATAAACCACGACCAACTCTGGAAATTTCTTGATTATGTTTGTTTTGATAGCATCGATCGTAGTCTTTATCCAAGGATTATATTACTATTATCGATCGTAATTTGGTTTTCATTAATTATCATTATAGTATTTTATTGTATACGTGTATCTGTTGACTTATTAATAATAAGTAAGTAATGGAATAAAGAAAGTGAAGAGGACTATTATTCTGACTTAAATGGTAAAAAACTAAAATAAATAAAGTTTAATGTACTAACCAATCGAATAATCAAAATTTATTAATCTTTTCATGAGTTTTATAATTTTTTTATTTCCCAAATTCAAAATTTTCCATTTGCTAAATTTGCTTTTACTTTGACGGTATTGGGTCCTATGATTGAACGTTTACGTTATCCGTAACGTACATGTTAGGCCGAATTTTAAAAGTAACGAGGCAAGTTCGTATGATGGAAACCTGTTAAACTAGAACATAACAGGCGGAAAAGAACAGTAATGTGTTGAAAAAAGTTTTCCATCGTACGAACTTGCCTTGTTACTGTTAAAACTCGGCCTAACATGTACGTTACGGATAACGTAAACGTTCAATCATACGACCCATTAACAGAGTGTGGCTGACAACACAAAAATGTGTTCCAACATATCCAAGTTCTGAATCGCGTTCCAATCCTCGACAAGTCGTGGACAGGTCATCGACTATCAGTCGTCGACAATAAATTGTGGACTGGTTTATGTATGGTCCTAAAATTGTTGTTGGAACAAACCTTGATATTCCACAACTTTCTTGTAACCACTTGAAAACTACTTTAGAGGCCAGAGAGCAAGCATATGTTTTATGTTGGCAACAAAAAAAAAATATGTTGATATGACATTGACAATTGACAGTATTGGCACACTGCCGAATGGCGTTGATGTTTAAATTTTTCGTTAAAAAAATGTTAAAAATTCGGTTAAGAAATTGTGACCTAATTCAAATTATTACGAGATTTTGAAGTTGGTTCCTATCTTCTCTTGTTTTATTTGTTTTGAAGACAAAAATGGTTAGAGGTAAGTTTTCTTAGAATGTATGGTTATAATAAAGCTTATTTTTTAGAATTGTAGTTCTAATTAAAAATTCAATTTCAAATATTTTGAGACATACTTTTTTTATTAAAAAAATACATTATTATGGAAGTTATAATTCTACAATTTTTTATTAAAAACCTATACCATTCACTGTTAAAAAATAATATTTAATCAGAATCATCTTGCTTTACGATTTTAGTACATGTACAATGTCTTTCTTGTTTACGAGGTTTTCGATTTCTATCCATCGAATCATTCATTTTTATATGGCATGTACAGACCTAGAACAAAATGATGTATTTTAAAATGCTTTTGTTAACAATGACGAACAACTACTAGATACTAGACCCATTTTGTTTACAAAATAAGTATTGCAAGCATTCACGGTATTAGTAACGTAGTTCTCAAATTATTATGAGAGAGTTTTGTTACAAGAATTGTGTTTGGTTATAATTTGGAATTAACTTAACCAAAGACTTAACATTAAAGCTCTATTAACGCAAAAAAATCTTTCAAAATCACATTAAGGAAGTATATTTGCATTCATAATGCCAGTTATTATCTGTTTAAGGTCTTTCTGGTTGCAACTATTATTGTAGCTGAAGGTGATTTACAGGAAAGTACACCCATTTTTTTATAGTGTACCAGCAGTGTTAAGTAGGAATCATAGTTGCAAATTCTTAAAAGGTGGGGCTTGCATTTCAGATAAACAAGCTCACACAAATTATCTATACTCAATTTAGAAGATGTCTCACTCTTTCTAATGCAGCAACAGATGCAACAGCTCTGTTTGTCTTATATAAAACACAATATGAATATTTGCAATGAATTTGTCGTTGAACTATACTATTCTTTTTTCAAAGAGATTGTTCAATTTGTTTAATTTTTATTTTCAAACTAAACTTTTGTTTCTTGTAACTTGTAACTTACATATGTTTTCCATTTTTTTTATTTATGGGTAATTTCACGTTAAGGCGACCATTTATGGAATAAAAGTGGCAACAGCATGAAAGTCATTCTGGATATAAATATGTATGATTATTACCTTTAGTAGTTCATGTAAAGTCGGCTGCCAAAGGGGCCAGACAATTTTCTAGTTTTTTTTCCAAATTTTTACCTTCCAGGGGAAATACATCACCCAGGGTAATGACCCCTCTCAGGGGAATTATATTTATGCTATAGGGTAATGACATTCTTAGGTACTAAAATCAAGTTGATGCATAAAAATTATAAAAATCTCCTTTATTTAACTAATAAACAGCTAGCTTATTGTGTACGGAACAGGAACATTCTAAACTAAGTAATAAAGTTAAAAAAAAAAAAAAATGTTAGAGCATTTAACAAATCTCTAACACTAAAACAATTTGAAATGTATCAGTAAATTCAGGTCTCTAGTAGAAAGTATAATAATTGAAAGTATAATAATTATACTTTCTATAATAGGTGTACAGTCTTAAATTAGCTAGGTATTAAAATAAAACATCATTCATAAAAAGAAACTTAAAAAAAAAAAAAATAGGTACCAGGTTATATATAAAGTATATTCAGGTACCTACAACAACATGCAAAAAACTATTCGGTAATTCATGTTTAGCGTAATAGTTGGAATTGGTAATATGTTAATGATGTGTTCCAGTGATACATAAGAAACATCATTATCATTCACCTTAAATATTGTGCCATCATTACTATATGATTTTAGAAATGTTACTTTTATTTCTCCTTCTTCCTCGTCCACGTCGCCTGAACAGATTGCAACATATTTATAGGTTTTTTTTGCTCATAATTTTACTAGTATATAATCACCAGGCACATACGAGGAGGTCCCAACATCAGAGCAAAATATGTTTATATTTTTTTTAGTATGCATAAACGAATTTGATAATAAACTCGCAGCAGTTCTCTGTCTTCTTAGAGCAATGTATTCAATGTCTTTCCAAACCTTGTACTTACGAATTATGAACCTGTCACAGCTTTTGTAAACGAATTTTTTTCATTTGAGGTGTTGAGTAAAGTTTTTTAATTGCTGTTTCATTACTTCACCAAACAATACTTTTCTTGTTACTTGCTTTTTAACCTCTTCAGTCGGATTGGCTAAAAGTTAGTTAACATTTGTCAACACTTTCGTATTGGGAGTTATCGGTTTTTTCAGTAGACGTTTTTCTCTTTCTGTATTTTTCTAGTTTCATTTTAAGTCGTTTTATTTCTTCATCTTTTTTTCTTATTTCTTTATTTCTCTTTTTTCTTATGGCTCCTGAATTATTTTTGGCAACCATTTTTCTTTGATCTACAATCATAATCTGGTTGTCTCTCATAAACCGAAGAGTTTCTTTTTTCGAAAAGCCTTGATATTTTTTTTCCAGCGTTTTCTAGCCTCTCAATTTTCTCTAGGAATCATATCTTTTGCTGCCTTTACTTGTTTTTTCTCCTTTTTCTTCATGTATTTTACTCTCTTTTTCTTTTTGTTCAGTATATTTTTGCCTATCATTTTTTATTCTCCGATACCTAGACCTTTCTGCTAATCTTTTCTTTTCCAATATTACTTTTCTGCTTTTTTTGGTTGTCTAGCCATTGTTACACAAATCTACAATAAGACTGGCATATATTTGGGGTATTTAGAAAATATTTGCACGAAATATTCTCATAACTAAATAAAACTAATTTCCCTGTTAAAGACGTAATTCCCCTGTCCTATAAATCAACAGGGGAATTACGGATTTGCAAGAAAGCCCTTATATCTTTTTTTAAATTATAATGGAAAATATAGATACTACCCTAACCTATCCTACATTGGTCTAGGAGATACCTTTTAGCTGGAATTAAATTTTACTTACATTTTCAAAAAAATATGATGGCACAGTGAAATTACAAAGTGACTGGCACTCAAACTACATTACAACTTGAAAGTCACGTGGCTACTGATGGATGTTTGACTGTTAAATTTTCTTTTGCATAGAAACAACCTCATATTGCACTGTTGCCAAAAATAATAAAGACTCTAAGAAAATATATTTCGCTTGTAAATTCATTAAATTTTATTTGGCAGGGGAATTACATAAGACATTGAGCACAATTTAAATATTTGTTATATTTTCGAAATAAATATTTTTTTTGCGCCTTCAAGGGCCTTAGTACATGGAAAATACTTGGATAAAACTGTTTTATAATGTTGGTGGCGTAATTTTATATAACTTTTATATTATGACCGTTTTTAAGATATGAATGGCTTGAGGACATGCCAGGGTAATTACAATTTTATTATTTAAACGAAAATATTTCAAAATAATCTTGCTTCTTTGGAAACAAAACTTATTTTTCCTTAAAGATAGTAATTCATTTCTCGTAGTTGATATCATTTTAAAGATTTAAAATAATTATTTATTTGAAAAAATTAGAAAGACATGCATATGTCGCTTTAATGTGTAATTACCCTTATAACAATACAATTAGAGAGAATACATATCACATTCATTAAATAGTAAGAAATCCTAAATAATAAATTAATTTAAAATATATACATATTAATAAACAATTAATCAAAAATCTAATATCTATTCCTCACATATACATAAATGGCTAGAAATTTCTAATGGAGAAATAATCCATTCTACATTTAGTCTATTAGCAGATCATGTCACTCTAGGAATAAAAGAATGAGGACCATTTTAATGAATTATTAAATGTAAAACAGAAATGTCATTATTTATTCTTACCTTATTTTGTTGGTCTGGGTGTTCACCACCACCTCCTGGGCGCCTGGAAATTTAAAAATAGTCGTTATTCCTAAAATAGGGGGTATGGGCGCCACCAGAGGGGACAAAGGAACTGATGTTCCCTCTGGCAAACTCGTAGCACAAAAGAAGTGATTTGATTTTTAACAAAAAACAATGCCGATTAAAAGTAAGTATCAACATGTTAAATTTTCAGTTTGTTGTTACTTATGCTAAAACATGTAAAGACTTCACATTGTTAGCCCTTGTTTTTAAAATAATTTTATGTCGTTTTTAGATTAGGGTTTGCATATTATTTGAACAATTTATGTAAAAATTTGTGCGCCCTTTATCTCTTCAGTCTGTGCATGTAAAAATATTTTACCTTTTTACCCCTACCCATGTAATATTTCAACCATGTAAAAATATTTGGTCCTTTTACCACCCATGCCTGTACCTACAAGTAATAATATTTGAGCCATTTACCCTTCAAGCATTTCCATATAAAAATATTTGAACTCTTTACCTCTTAAGCCTGCCCATTTGGATTCTTCACCCCTTAAGGATGTTTAAGTAAAAATATTTGGCTCCTTTACCATGTAAAAATATGTGGGATCTTTACCCACTAAGCTTGCACATGTACAAATTTGAGCCTTTTACTTTTTTTGATTCTAATATCAAATTCAAATACACGCTCCATTCTAGAATTTGGTGAAGCTTGTGCAAAAATCATCCTTCACTGTCCTGTATGTTATTCTTGTTATTCGATCCATATTTATGTCTACTTAAAATAATTATTTTCACTTATCTATCATTTACATTGAATAAACACTCAAATAAAAATTTTTAAGAGACATTTAAAATTTTTTATATAAGTTATTTAAGAATGACAGTAGTTTAGAAAAAAAATCTGCTGTTTCATGGTTGATATTCATGGCAATCTATTGAAATTTTGAGAACCAGTACTCTTGTGGCAGTGCATAAAATAGGCTTCATAAGAAATGCATTGTATTTTAAAAATACTGATATTTAAAGCACAAAAGTTAAACCGAAAATACTGAAAATAAATAAGGTTCTCAGATTGAAGAAATTATATAGTAAAGTCAAAACCGATAGTCGATCGGTGCTTTCATTCTAGAATTATCGTGCCGGCGCACATATGTACAGACAAAAAGGATTTTTTTTTTAATTTGTCAATTTGATTGATCATGAAAAAAAGTGTTAAAAAGTGGAGGTAAGACTTTTTTGTTGACACAATTGCAACACTGAGTTTTAAAATAACAACTGGCCTCAACCAATTATTGGAAATAAGCTTAAACGATAATTTGGCTCCGTTTTTCCGATCTATTGAACAAAATAAAGTACGTAGCATCATATGTTATTCACAAATGTATACTTTTGCCCCAACTGGAAGAATTTCTGGCAGCGTCTATAATAGTAGGTTTTGTCATTATTTCAGAAACTTAAAAGTTAGATATTTTTTTCTGTAACCTAGGTACATAGTGATTTTCACAAACTGTATAAGTTGTTTAGGAATATTAATCTTTCATTTGAAAAAATAGGAAATTTGTTCCAATTAGGTATGTAGGTCTTATTAGACTTACTGTACATTCTCCACTTCCTCTTAGCTTGTCAGCCAGCCTATTGCTATAGTAGTTGATATTCCTGCAGATACCTAGGTCACCCTCTTTGGTGGTTGTCCTTTTTATTTCATTTTACTTCAGATAGAACGTATCTTTTTATATTGCCCTAATCATGTTTTTAAATCAGTCTGGTAACATGAATATTTGTTCTTCTTTTTTAACATCAGCCTATTTTTATGAGGTTGCAAAGTTAATCGCAGATGCTTGTATGTACAAAGGTATCATGTAAATAATAAATAATGTTAAAAAATATATCACACCTTCCTGTATCTGTAAGGTATGGAGGATTGGGTTATCACGTAAGCCTCACTACATTAGTCTGCTGGTTGATAACATCACTGAAAGATGTCTAGGGACTGCCACCCGATATTTTTTCGTGTTTTTTTTTATACAATGTTATTGCCCTCTCATCCGACACTCTTAACTAATCGAATAGTTTAAATAGGGAAAGTACCAAGTACGGCAGAACATTGAAAATTCAATTTTATGGAGAATTCCGCAGTATAAGTGTTATGTTGCTTTTGATTTTAGCGCCCTCTAATGGGATAAAAAACTTATGTATTGTAAAGTGTTTGAGAGCCAATTTTATTAATAATTGAATGCATAACAAAATTGAATATAATATAAACTTTGCTCATAACGGAAGGAATTTTCTACAGTTTATTTCCATTGTAATTTGCGGTGCTAACTTAGATTACAATTTGAGATACAGAGAGTGAGTAGCGGGGAGTTTTGGCAACTACTGCTTTCTTTTTTGGTGTTGGTGAGTTTTTTTTACAAAATACCGGTCACAAAAAAAATATATATATATCTCGTTATGATAGTTGATGTATTATTTTCTTGTTAAAAAGTTAATTTTTAACAAACTTATTGCTATTAAAATTAGGATTAAATAAATTTAACTTTAATCGCAATCAACAAAAATAACAAATTTATACTAGGCATTAAATTAATTAATTCTCTACTTACTCGTGCTGTGGTGTTAATAATGTTTGGTCAGTATTAGTCTTTTTATTAATCATTTCATCCAGGCTTTCATATTGACTTTGTATTAAGGATAAAATAATTCCAGAGTCTTTTACCAATTTCGAGTAGTTGCCTTCTACTTCTTGCAACGTTTGGTCATAGAGATTTTTTGTTTTGATTCTCTGTGCCATGCTTTTATTTATCTAGAATTAAGAGGTTTCTAATGTGTAAATATTTAATCAGCGATATAATATACAGGTTGATCAGGATGTATAACTCATATGGGGTTAATTTACTGGAATGGTTCGGTGCAGACATGTCACCTCATAGAAGAAAGGCATTAAGATCGTCTAGAGTATTCGGGATAGGTATGGTACGCCCAATTTTCAAATAAATAGCTTGACTTTGTCTATCTGAGTTTAGTTGATGTCGAGATATTGTGCAAAGATAAAATAAATTGTCAATATAAATTAGTATATGAGTGTAATTGTTTGAGGTATAATTAGGATTAAGTACAAGTAAATTAGGTGTTAAATAAATTAGGGTATTTATTTATTTATGGGTCAGAGCCCATTAAAACAATACAATTACAGATAATACATATCACATTAATTAAATAGTAATAAAATCCTAAATAATAAAAATAATAAATTAATTTAAATATATACATATTAAAAAACAATTAAAAATCTAACATCTATTCCTCAGATATACATAAATGGTTAGAAAATTCTGATGGAGAAGTAATCCATTCTACATTTAGTCTATTAGCAGATCTTGTCCTCTAGGAATAAAATTAAATAATAAACTGTTAAAAGTAAATAAACGATATATTGGTGTTAGAAGTGGGATACTGTAAATATAAATAGTAGGTCGAAAATGGCTCTTACAGCAATGTACTAAATTTATGTTACCTAGTTCAGAAAGAGTGTTTTAGTATCGTAAAATTCAGTATTACCTCTCTGTAAAATTGACCAATAGCCGCTACTGTGTTATATAGCATACAGAAGTCTTACCAAACAAAGTTTGTATGTAATCCTTTCCATCTCAGTTTCCAATCTTTTTCGCTCATCATACTGTTTCTCGATTATATAAATTAATTCTTCTCTCTGGCTTTTCAAGTTGCATATATAATTGCAAATTTTATCATTGTTTTCCCTTAACTCTTTTGCCATTTCGTCCTTGTCATTGATTTGAATTTCGTTTTTATCTGGATTTTTATCTAGATCTAAACTTTCTTCTGAATATCGATTTTGTTCATATCGTTTGCCATTTTGTTTATACTGCTTATCAATTGATTCTGTCGAATGTATGTTTTCATTCTTTATAAATAAAATTACGGATTAGACATGTTTTATTTTTCTCACAACCGCTAATGATATTGATATACTTATATATTTTTTAATATCCTTCATTAATCAATATATTTAATTTTTAAGTAGGCAGTTTGCTGCAATACTTTTTTAATTTCAAGATAGCCATTGTATTGACTAGTAATTTTCTTGACTTATTTATTTAGCTTTTTATTTATGACGCCCAGGTAAGGATTGACCATTCCAAATGGATATAGTTTTATTGCAACGTATTTGTCAACATGAGAAACTGATTTTTTTTTATATATCTTTAGTTGTTTTAAAAAGAGAAAAGTAGAAATATGCAGTAGGATAAAACAACCTAAAACACAACAATCCTAGTATAAGCAGAGGATGTGGTACTATAAGCAAGAAGAACATGCAATTATTAGTAATTATAGGATAGAAAATATAAACATTGATTATTGAACGATTTTCTATACATTAATTAAACTCGTAATGCATGGTTGACACAATAACAAATTCTCGTATATATTTTTTTTATCTACAACCACCCCAGTAAATCGCCTATTATGTACCGTTTTGTTTATAAGTAAATACATCATTACAGATACTGTTACGTAATGAAATTCAAAACTATTACGTAATATCATAGCCCTCATATATATATTACATAACAGTTTCATTTATCAAACTACCCATATTAGTCCGTTGCTAGGTGATCGCCATGGTTACGATTAATAAGTTTTGACATTTCAGAAATATAAAATCGCCATTTTTGTAGTTACAGCATTATTTTTTTAAATGAATATGATTTCGTCAGATAGCGAAAATGAATTTCAAGAAACTCCTGAAATTCTTGAAAAAGCTGCCAATACCACTGAAAAATTACTGCCAACAAAATCAAGAACAAGGTATGAAATAGTATACCAAAAGTTTATGGACTGGCGTATAAAAAACAAGATTAATTCATTTTCTGAAAATGTGCTTTTGGCATATTTTGGGGACCTAATGGAACAATTTAAACATTCATCAATATGGGCAATATATTCCATGTTAAGGACCGTCATTTCCATAAAAAACAACGTGAATATTGAAACATACCCAAAATTAAAGGCATTCCTAAAAAGGCAATCGGAAGGTTTTAAAAGCAAAAAATCAAAAAAATTTTTCTTCTGATGAAATAAGTAAATTTTTAAATGAAGCTCCTGATTCACAATACTTATTAACAAAGGTTTGTATCTAAAGCAATTTTCCTTCAGTTAATTTAGTATTGGCTAGTGATTTTACTTTTCAATATTTTATTTAAGGTGATTCTAATTATTGGAGTTTGTGGCGCATGTAGGAAACAAGAATTAAAAAATTTACAAATCAAGGATATAAGAGATGTTGGTGACATACTGATTATTGAAATACCTGATTCAAAAACTAAGATAAGCAGGTCTTTTGTGATTAACGGAACCTTTTATCAAATATGCAAACAATATATGCAACATCGCCAGCAAGTGCAAAATCTTGATACAAATCAATTTTTCATAAACTATCAAAAAGGAAAATGCACCAAACAAGTGGTCGGTATAAATAAAATTGGAAATGTACCCAAACAAATAGCACAATATTTAAACTTGCCCAATCCCAATTTATACACCGGCCATTGTTTAAGAAGAACTTCTGCCACAATTTTAATTGATGCAGGTGGTGATTTATTCGCATTAAAAAGGCATGGAGGCTGGAAATCCTCAACGACTGCTGAAGGATATGTTGATAATTCATTAAATAATAAAACTTTAACGGCTCATAAAATTATCCAGTCAATTGAAAAAACAGATTTTTCACCTAGCACATCAGAAATAAATGAGAATATTTCTACTTATAATATCCTTCAAACCATAAATAACAGCAATCAAATAGAGTCTAATTCCTCTGCACCATCTACATCATCTCTTTCAGTGCCATCTACTTCTTATAAAATACCTCAAAATACTAACGAACCCATAATTATTCAAAATTGCCAAAATTTTACTGTTAATTATTATTCTAAGAATCAATGATATGTTAATGAATTATTGTATTTAATAAATGTTATAGATTATGAAAGCTTTTTTATTATGAATGTATGAATGTGGTTGTAGATAAAGTATAGTACATAACTCGAGTTGTAAGAGCAATTACATGCTCGTAGAATTACTACACTCGCCGCTAACGCGGCTCGTGTGCAACTTTTCTACTCGCATGTAATTAGCTTCTTACTACTCTTGTTATGTAATATACTATTAAAAAGTATTAGATTTATTAATTGGCTCTTATTACCTCATCACTATCCTCGTCATAGTCGTCTACATCCTCTTTTATTTCGTGCTTATTTCCATCAGTATTTTTCTCACTTTGTATCGCTGCATCGGCCTAAAATATATAGAATGTTTTTAAACTTATCAAGACTAACAATTGATCGAATCTAATTAACAATATTGTTCATGTTGACAGCGGACCTATTGTCCTAATAAATTGCAATAGCCAGTACTAATTCTATTGAAGCTTTTCAATATTTTAGGATGTAAAAAAAGTTCCATGTAGGTACCTTTTAATCTATTATACAGATAAGCTCAAACCCCTCTAGCCACAATAGAATTTACCCAGTCCGATTAGGTTAGATAAATTACTAAAGCTCTATTTTGAAATGTGCTCGTTCGTTCATCGGTATTTCGTGAAAGAACCATTTCGGACTGATGCTGCTCCAATACTCACTATTTCAACTATTTGATCAAAAATACAAGAAACAACAGCTAATATTAAAAACGGAATTAATAGCATACAAATTAGTCTAAAAAGTGGCGCACAAAAATGAACGAAGAAAAATTCACTCACAGTAACTTTACCAATAGAAGAACAGATTATATATCAACTTAAATAACAATAAGTATATCAAGTAACAAAACAGCAAAATATCTAGGTATAAATCTGGATGCTAAATAAAAATGGAAAGAGCATGTAAAAATGAAAACTGAACAGCTAAATATTAAATATTGGTTGATAGAGGAAGGCACTCTTTACTTTCCACTGAAAATAAAGTTCTGATTTACAAATAGATTTTAAAGCTAGTACGGCCTACAGTTATGGGTGCGTACTAGAAAAAAATAATTAAAATTGCCTAGAAATAGTACAAAATCAAATTCTTAGAAACATACTTAATGGTCCTTGGTATGTTCGGAATACAGATCTCCTCCACTAAGAACTCCCTAGTTGAATCAAATCCAGAAGAAATTAAGAAAATTGCCAAGAGATTCAGGAGAGGCTCCACAATCAAGACTCTTAAAAGAATCAAACCTTTTGAGCTTGTTCAGCTCGATTTTGATCAGGCGCTTAAACAATAGCGCTATTTCGCGACAGAGTTGCTTTATTTGTTTAGTGTACCATTATCTTACAATTTCGATCTTGCCGGTTTGGACTCCGCCTTCATGATCGTTGGTATCAAGTTTATTTCGTAACCGATTTCGAGGAATAGTAGAATCAATGCTTGACGTTTCAAAACTAGGTTGTCTCATTTTTGATTGTATAAAAATTTATCGAAAACATTCAATCACTTGAAGCAAGTTTTCATTTACTATGGTTTATCACGTTTAATTTACAATCAATTTAAAAATTGCTATTTTGTGATTCATTATAATCATCATTATGACAATGCATTGACATTTGAAATGATAGGGATCTTAGATTGATCAAAATAACTTTTATGGCATTAAGCTAGTTTTTAATATATCATGTAATGGCGTTGAATTGAATCAGCGAGTTCGAAAACCGTACATGTCCAAAATCAACCTTCAGAGAAAAAAAAACAATTGAAACTTTTTAACATTGAAACTACTTGACCAAAGAATACCTACCCAAGAAGCGAAACTGGGCAATTCGTGGACAAAAAACGGCCAAGTTTTCGGAGTGTTTTAGAGGTGGTTTAACGTCAAATATAGTTGTCAATTTATGTAGAGCAACCAGAGCAACGTTTGGTATATTAGTATTAGCGTTTTGTGAAAATTGCAGTATAGTTAAGTCCGAGAATGCCGATCAAGGAGAAGTGACAGTAGCTGTCGGTGCCTTTGATATCAGGTGGACCTTTTTCACATCATGACTTTGATTAATACACAACTTAGCACTCTGAGAAAACATGCTTATTTTTTACACTGAGCGAAATAGTTTGGCAAATTATCTGAAATCATTGTCATAGTCCATGCGCAATTGTTGTAATGTGATTTAATTACATTGAAGTAGTTAGGGTTAATAGCAATTAATAATCATGATATTTACTGTTCGTAGTCCTTTGGAAAAGTAAATAAACTTAATTCTTGGCCTGTTTTGGACGAACAAGAACGGTATGCACAAAAATATCCAGATCCAGACATTCTATTACCACATAAAGAAACACCAAAAAATGTCACTCAACAGCTCACAGACTAAACACAACTTGGACTGATTTTGACAGATAATATGATTTTGAGTGATACACAACTTATTTTCGCACATGCGCGTATCAAAACGGTACACTGAAAACACCAAGCTGTCGCTTCTCCTTGATCGGTATTCTCGGGTTAAGTAGTTGTATTTAACTAAGTAGTAATTAGAAATTAGTTTAGTTTTAGAATTTAAATTACACAAAAAAAATACATTGCGTTATTCGGAAATTTTATTGAACGTTCTTGCATCTGGCTGTCAAAGTTTTTTTTTTTTTTAATTTCTAAATCAGTATTACCTATAATGATAATTTACGCCTACGTATTATGCATCGTTTAATTTCTTACTCTTTTATTTAAATATGTTATTTTTGTTTGTTTTTTAAATCATTCGAATTAAAATAGTAAATAAACAATAATACAGAACAATAATTAAAATATATGACAAACTCACTTCGAGGAACTAAGTCGCTGCTATCAGGATGTAATCGAAATGCCTTTACAGCTACCTACAGTGCTTCTGGATATGTAACGTGTAGAGGGTGGGTTAAACTACGGCACTTAGGCCTCACTAGGCCCATTGTGTATCCTCAGAAAATGATAGGCACCTCCTATCTCATGAGCACATTTAATGTAGTTGACTACGTCGCCAAGAGGTGTTTCTCTTATATCGGCCGGTGTTAGCCAGTACTCGCTGAAAACAAATCTTCTAATTAATGAGAGCGACTGGCAATCGTAGAGGATATGTTCAATGGTTTCATCTTTTTCTTCGCACCATCAGCAGGGTGCGGATTCTGACAGCCCCATGATATGGAGATGCTTCTGTACTTGGCAATGACCAGTCAGAATGCCTGTGATCAGACGCAGATTCTGTCTAGTCATAGTCAAGTATTTGTTTGTTGTAGTGTTGTCAGGATAACTTAAAATCTCCGTGGTAACTTAGCAGTTTCTTGTTTCATCCCATCTTTCCTTCAATATCACAAGGGAATATTCTTTAATTAGGTCTGTCACTACCGATGTTGTCAGTCCAATAGAAGGGCCAGGTCCAAAAAGTATTTGGTTGGCCGCCATCTTGGCTAGTGAAACAGCAATAAGGATACCTTTCGATGTGGCGTCACTTTGTTGCTCCATCTTAAGATGACCACATTGTTGAATGGATACTCTTGCCAAAGCTTCGTGACATTCTAGTACTAACCCTGATTAAATTCGTAATCTGCATGTTCAGGGTAAGTAGTGCTTATCTGCTATCTGTATGGATGAGCATGTTCCTACCAGCGATTTCTTCTGCTGCTATGAGAACCTCCGTCAGCTCCGTAGACTACATTGGCACTATTACGCACAGCCCATTTTATGTTGAGGTTTAAGGAATTGGAGTATATTCCACATCATGAGCATTGTTTTGTTTTAGAACCGTCGTCGGTGTAAATATGTATCATACCTGCCACTTCCGGCTCTTCTATTTGTTCTGTTATACCTTTATATGGCCTATGGAAGATATAACTGGGTGTGATAAGGTTCATGTTTGCTTGAAGAAGTTGATGCGTATCAAACGCCTTTTGCCAACAACGACGTCTCGCTTCACCAGATCGTACATCAGGTTCTATTCCAACCGTGCAGAGGCGTGTCATTGGCATGAGAACAACCTCCTTGATGTAAATATCACAGTGAGTGAGACTAAGAACGACTTCCATGGCTCTGGTTGGTGTGGTTTTCATGGTTTCTGTTATGTTGAGACATGCTGTTATTTGAATTTGTTCTATTTTGCGGATAGCTGTTAACTTTTGGATTTTCGTTACCCAGACAACTGCACCGTATGTTAGCATATGTCGTATGATGGCCATGTAAGTCCATGTGACGACTCTGAGGAAGAAACTCCAGGTGCGCCCCACAGTTTGGTGTCATTGTTCATAGGTAATGTATGCTCTTTTGACTATGTTTTCTAATTGTGAGTTCCATGTCAACTTATTGTCAAAGGTGCTACCTAGGTACTTCATCTCTGTTGAAAGGTTTTGTTTTGTGTTTAGGAGCTCTGTAGGTTTTAATTCCATTTTTATTATTTCCTTGTAAAAAGGATTATTTCTGTCTTCTTGGGATTGATAGACAGTAAATGGTCCTTGCACCACTGTTCCATAATTGTTCTCAAAATTCCCTATTTGCAGAATGACCGTCATCAACTTTCGCTATTGTGTAGTGACTGTCACCTATTAAAATAATATATTTGACATAATGAACATAGTAAGAATTTTCTGTCATTGTTACTTTAGTTTGTGTTTAATTCTTATGAACCAAACGACTAAAACTGATTAATTTTTATACGTTTCCCAGTGTATTAAGTTCCCTTGCTTTGGTACATACGAAAACTCATTCAGTTTCGCTTCTTGGGTAGGTATTCTTTGACTTGACAGACTGTTTTCATACATGGAAAAGTATTAGATCTCGTGATTTGCAATGTATTTTTAATGGTAGTTTTTAAAAAAATAAAATGGACTACCAATGACAGATGCAAATGAAGTATGGACTTGTATGGTTTTTGAACTCAACCCTGTATATAAAAAGAAACAGGTAAAACATTTTTGATTTATTTAATATTTATCCAAAAAGGAGGAAAAATACAATATCAAAACTTATCTCATTAATCTAATCATCATTTTCAGCATTTGTGGTTTTCCAACTGACCATTATTTTGTTGCTGAGATGAAAAACCATACGAGTTACGGACATGTACGGTTTTTCTCCTCATTTCACGGGTGCAATTAGCTGTACTACATTAACGGCTAGGTATCTAGATCAATTGTTAAGCTCAATCAATGAAGAGAAAAATTTTAAACAAAATGGCTATCTTACTTTAAAATGTTAAATTTTGGACTTGTATGGTTTTCGAACTCACCGATTCAATTAGATCGCACAATCGCACCAATGATGTCTACAGTTATATAGATAGCTCACCCATATGTAAATAAAAGGGTATATATGCTTGAAGGGTGTAGCCTAAAAACTACATCGTGAAAAGCCACTGAGCTTATAATCGTAGAGATATTTTGATAATAGACAGCAATAGTACTTTTCGTCTTCTAATTCAAATATAGATGAGCAATCTATTTAACTATAAATGTCATTGAATCTTTACCTTCTAGTGCACGAACGCCAGTCTGGTGGCCTGGTGGTCTTATTTACTGCTTTTGGGTGGGCTTTACCTCCATAGGGTGGACACTTCTTGAGATAAACAACCATATGAGATTGTCCTCCTTTCCTCTACATTCCATAACTTACCCAATCTTTACAAAAAATGAATAAATTTGTCCATCCTTAGAACAACACTGTATGAGTGATTTTGATTTTTTTTTATATACGAAGAGAGCACAAAAAACTGAATTCAATTATATACGTTTTTATTTATTTCACAGAGGATTTTGCTACTAACATTTAGGGGTTACAAAATGATAACAGACGTGATTTTATTAATTTTATTGCAAAAAAAGTAGGCCCCAAAACGTAAAAATCCGAGGTTGAAAAAAATCATGATTCCTATACTTTCCTTATCTGTATTTAGACAGGAAAGTAAAACGGAGTATACCGACACGTTAACATAATTTGTAGCTTTTAAAATGGAAGAGGTTTATTCCCAAATTGATAATATATTATTAATTTTGCTATCTCCCCTAAGATATTTGGTCTTGAAAATCAATTTTTTTTGTAATTAGTTAAATAGACTTATAATATGTATAGGAAAGCTTTCTGATGGATAGAAGATTCCCGGAAACTATATGTATGAGTAGAATTCCTGAAGGAGTCAGATTAGGTTGGGTATGTTTCTTGGGGAGTTTTTGAAATATGTAGCAGTGATTTGTTCGCCAGGAGCTTTGTAGGGTATTTTTAGTTTGCATTCCTAAGGTATCAGAATATTAGTTTTCTAAGAATCTGTTTCTCAAGGGTGCTAAAGTAATGTGATTCCTGAGGGGATAACTTGCATTCTGTACTCAACTAAAAGATGATAGGAAGTAAAAGCTCATACTAGGTTCGACTCTCAGTCCATAAATCATATACCTTACCAACATTTATGAAATATTTGTTTTTGTTTTGTTAAAGCTACTGCCGTGGAGCCTACAACTCCATTAATGCCGAAAAGGAGGCAAAAAATGACGTGTCAGGAAATTTTGCCTTCCCCTTCAACTCCTCACAGAATTGAATTGAGGAGAGATAGCTCCGAAGATATAAAAAAAATTGCAAAGCCCCTTCCCCCAGCTGTAAAAGGTAGAAGAAGGTTTGTGTAAAGTTGAGCTCAACGAAGTAGAAATACACATTTTTTTTTTTAATTATTTTAGATTAAAAAATGGAGATGTCATCGTCAATGGTCAACAGATAAAAGCTATTGAAAATCATAAATTAACCGAATATTTTCCTGTACGAAGATCTGTACGGAAAACTACGAAGACTGTATTAGAAGAAAAACAAAGAAATTTAGAATTGATTTTGAAAAAAGGAATTGAAGAGGGACTAGAGGTAATATTGAAAATTCCATCAGAAAATAATAAGAAACCCCTTCATCTTAAAAAAATTGCAAATAATTAAGGTGCTTAACTAACAACAAAATTTTAGATTAGAATATTTGAAGGAAAAGGAAGGGGTATTGTAGCATCGAAAGACTTTGTAAAAGGAGACTTTGTAATTGAATACAGTGGAGATCTTATCGATCCAATAGAAGCAAAACTAAGGGAAGAACAATATTCTAGAGACCAAAATACTGGCTGCTACATGTATTACTTCAAACACAATGGACAACAGTATTGGTAAGTAAATTTTTGATTCATAATTACACATCATTATGTTTTAAGGGACAGAATACATCATTGCAATCTTAAATGATTATAAATATTTTAAACCTAATTCATATGATTCTACCGAGAGTTTATAATAACAAGTTATAAAACTATAAGATCTTGATCAAAATATTTTTCTTTTCAAATATAGATATCGTTAGACACCTTACAAAAAAAAATAAATACAAACACGAAAATAAAGCATTTAAAAGTTCAAAGATTTCAGTTTGTGGTGCATTAATGATGACATAAAAAAATGAGCCAAACAAAGTTGTCTAAAATCTAGTTTTTTATATCCCTAAAGTAAGTAGATAACATTTTAGTTAAATAATTATTTAGTAATCATTTCTGTAAAACAATGAATTGAAAGGTAACTGTCGATTTATATTTTATTTTTATTATTCTCAAGATTGTATTCATCTAAAAACATACCACTGTAATAACTACAATAAAAGTACTTTAGTTACTACATACCTTTAAACACATATGACTTGACAATATAAGATATAAAAAAAATTCAAAATCAATGACATAATGGTTTGTTTTTATCTGGCTTACTAACGTCTCGCTAATGTAACCCGATGTGTACGTATGTAGTGCATAGTTCCCAAACTGGAATATCAGAATAGAAAGCTTAGTAAAGCCAAAGGCTAACTCTGCCTAATTTTCATAACTTTATATTTCTACATAATTTTTCATCACCTAATAGATCCCAGTTGCATTTTGAATATCATAAAAGACAACTAATAGAACAAGGATCCTATAAAGATATCTTTAGACGACGTTTTGAACTATTTTATAGTAGGCTGTTTTGTTAAAAATGTTGGAGAAGACACTGGACATGTTGCCCAGTAGTGTTAGATTATCGGAGAATGGGTCCTGGGTATCCTCCCTTAGAGGAATCTCAGTACGATCGCTCCAACCACCCACCATACCAAGTAAAAAAACACTTCTTGTGTCCCCTTAGGTAAGGAGTGGGAATCGTCTTGCAGAATTCGTTTGTACTCTCACCAGTTTGACTGCTTATATGTACATCCATTCTCTCTTCTTTTTTTTCAGTATCATTATTTTGTTTATATATTCATGTATGTTTTTTTCAAGTGTTTTGTATCATATCCTGAGGTCTATTAGGTTTTCCATCTCATGCATCTGATAAGTGTCTGCCTTCCATTTTATTGCAATAGATGCAGTTGCCGCCTTTCGTTTTGCCTATTCTTTTCGCTTAGGTCAGGAATGAGTCGTGCCCAGTCAGGATTTGTGTTAGTTTGTAGTTTATTTATTTATCCATTTTGTCAAGGCTGGTATCAAGGTCTTTGTCTGTTGTCCTGTTGATGTGTGTACGTTTCAATCTTGTTGCCATTTTTCTATTGTGATTCTTCACTCGCAATTCTTTACTGCCTGATGATGACATTTAAGATTAAAGGGATGTTGAAGAACATCATAAAATTATAATTTATTGTTTATTTAAAACCAGAGATAACGGATATAAAGATAGGAAACGCTCATAAGAAGCACATGCTTAACAACGACTAGCTTAAACGCAGTTAACATTTGACCCACTATGTGGCGCTTTCATCGATATCAAACAATGCAGCGAGAAATTTAAAAACCCGTTAATAAAGATTGTATACATATCGATTGCACTTTAATGTTCTGGTAAATAAATTTAAACAATGTTAATTAGGGTAAATTATTTATTAAAAAGAATACTACACTTATAGTCTATTGAACACACCATTCCCAACATAACATATGACAAATACTTTTTAGTTTTTTAATATTTGTAGCTTTATCATATCATTTGTGTTCTTATTTTCTAAACAAGTGGCTATTGGTATTTCATTTTTAAAATTTTTGACTGAAAACTCAATAATGGGAATTCAGATATTTTTCTCTCTATAACAAATATTCTCTCCAACGTTTTGAAGCCATTTTTTTTGCTCTAAAATAATAAATAAATACTTTATGACAAAAGTTGGCTACCATTATTTGTTACTTACATGGTTGGATTTTACTTTGATAAAGAAACGCCTCATTGGAGTTGTTAAGTTTACTTATCGGGCACACGATCTGGCATGTTTGAGTAATGCAATACGTGCTCCGACTCAGTGTAATATTACAAAATATAATTAATGTCCCGAAATTCCACGTAAAAACAACCACAATCATTTCGCTTAGTTCACCATACAATATAAACCATTCTTGAACTCAAAATTTAAATTCAGTATTCTATGATATACATACAACTAATTGACATTTATTTTTACTAACTGTTAACTGCTGTCCACGTCTACTGTCCGTCTACAAACGACGTGTACCTTTACTTAACATCTGAGACGCATAGATGAAGCCATCGTTGCTGCGGTCGTTGCCTTTCCTATTAAAACATTTCAAGTTCCTGATTTCTACTGCTATTTCCAGTATTAATGTTATTATTACAAAAACAAAGGTAGTTTTTTTCTTATTGTATAGCTATCCATTTATTTCTTTAATTTAATTTCCACTTTGCTACTAAAATTTTTTAACATTTACACTGTTTTTTTTGCTAGTATTTTTATAATTTACAACACAGCAACTCTGGTTGCTTATTGTATTTTTACCTATTAAAAAAAAAGTTAAATGTATCGTGTAGTTGATATGCCAAAATTATAAACTATCGTCCTAAAATGCACGAATTATCCGCAGCTAGCGCTAGTATCGCTTTTGTTTCCCCTACCATGACTTCGCACTGAACAAATACACAATATGGAGTTCAGCAAATTCAGCATTCTTTTATTTAGGGCTATAAATAGAAGACGACATTAGTGTTAGATGTAATAATTATTAGTAAAGTCAATTATTTCAAGTAAATATTGTAGAAAGGTAAGTTTACTATTTAATATTGGGCAGTGGTGGCTGGTGCATAAATGCTGCAGAGCTGCAGAATTGCCGAAAAATGCAAGTATCTCATCTACATTTCACGGAAATTATTTTAGACATTCTAAAATATACTTAAAATAGATTTTATAGATCACTTTCAAAAAAGGGAACGAAATGTGCTCCGCTTCATTGTACATATGGCTTTGGCGGCTTCTGCTATATCTCTCGTACTATTATACTGGTACTGTATAAAATTATTGAGATACAAACATATGTTCCATTCAATATTTTTTGCGTGAGAACAAACTATACATACCAGCTCCGCCTAACCCGAAAATATGAAAATCAAGTAGACTTGATTTTTTGACTCTTTAAATATACCAACAATATAAGTAACAGCGAGCCATACATTATCACTATTAGCGCTTTTGGAGAATTCATCAGTAGTGAGATTCTGACTGTTCGCATTTTCTATAGTAGATCCGTGTAGTACCAAACATTTATTATTTATTTATCTGTTTTGTTGAAACATACTTCAAAAATATAATTCCAATTAAAACATGTAACCGTGGATTTTTTTACTAAAATAAATTATATAATACAATAAAACAAATAAAAATCAATATTTTTCCTACATCCTTAAAAATGGCTACTGCAAAAGTGGAGCGAGTGCCATTTATCATCTGCAGAGCGACACTAGGTTGACATTTGATATGTGCGAGTGCAATTTGAATGCAGAATAATGATGCACTGAGTGTGCAATAACTCTATGTTAGTTCTTGCAATTCGAAAATCCTATAATACATCTCAAATAAAATGTTTATGATTATTTTAGATATTTTGTCCGAATTTGACTGGTCATTTAGGTAGCGGCCAATTGACCATCCCCAACACTACTTCAAACAATATTTTAAAATGAATTTTTGTAAAGACTTCTTTTGCTTTTAGTGTCGACGCGACAGCTGAATCAGGAAAACTAGGACGTTTAGTAAACCATTCTAGGAATGGAAATCTTATGACTAGAACACTTATGATTGATAACAAACCTCGTCTAGTACTTATAGCCAAGGAAAACATAAAAATAGGTGAAGAGGTACTGTACGATTATGGTGATAGATCCAAGGAATCTTTACAACACCACCCTTGGCTGGCATATTGACAATTTTTAATGAGTTTTAGTAGCATATCAAAATAAAAGATGTTTTAATATTAATAGGAATGGATATTTTTCTCATTGTGAAAATTAAAATTCCGCAGAATTATATTACAAAAAATTGTTTCGAAATTTTGCTATGATACAGAGTGTGTCAAAAGTGGAAAGTCTTTATTATTTGGTGAGTATATCAGATTTCCCACCCATAGTCACATTTGATAATTTGCATGTTACTTGCAAATATCTTTTTGGATCATAATCTGTTGCATAATGCAAAGTTGAAGTATTATTATAGAAGAGAATTGTATTTTTCTGTTTTTTTTTTTTTGTATTAAATAATAAAAGTGTTAACATTTTGACCACTGGAATAAGAGAATACTTACAATAAGAATTCATTTCTTTAAAATTGACAAGTAATTTTTGAAATCATTGAATCTTTCTTTTCGTAAACTCATGTAAAACGCATTTCAATTGATTTTAATAGTTTACAATATGTGTTTATTTAATCAATTTTTGATTTTCTAATTAATTTCCGTGACATTTATTATTTATTTTTATTATTTAATTGATTTAAATTATTTTCGAATGATTAAAAAGGAGGAATTGTATATAAAGAGAATTAAATTTTGTTGATAATTTGACTGATTTTACTAATAAGTTTTGAACTTAAATTGAGAATAATAATTGCTCAGTGTCAAAAATATTTGAAATATTTGTATTAAATATTTAAAATTTGTTAATGAGTTGTTTATTGAGCTTTATATCAATTTTTTCTTGTTTTAAAAGCATTAAAGCTTTTAATTGATATGTTATGATTTTAGTGTGTATGTACGATTGTAAGCATTTATTATGCCCCTTAAATTTATACGAAATAAAGTTTGTCAGACAAAATTACATGTTTTATTGTTAATATAATTTATTAATCCTGTTTGATAAATTTTTTTGAGCTCGAATTCGACATTACTTATGAAAATAATACAGTATAGAATATAAAGGCGTTTGAAGTCACGAAAATGAAAAAATAAAATTGAGGAGTATTATTTGAAAATATTATTTTTGAATCCGAACATGAGTTTAAAAGGTCCATTACGAAACTAAATAATTAAGGAGGAAGACAATTCGTAATAGAAGCAGAAGAAGGATGATCAAGATGGGAAAAGCAAAGGGAAGGGACAGAATAGGACAAGATATAAAATGGGTAGGAACGATGATATAAAAGTAAGGGTTACATTTTCAGAAGAGCTTAAATAGAAAATAAAGTATCAATGGCATGGTTGACACTTGTTTCTCTATATATGAAATGTGAAAATTTATATAGCAATATGCTTGGCATCTATAGTCTTTAAGGCATGCATATGGATAACAGAAACGAAGCTAAAAGACGTAGAAAGCTGTTTTGAAAAAGAATGTCTTTAGAGAATGGAGAAAAAACTCAAGATTACATTGTAAAAAAGGCACTATATTTCTATATTTCTTTCGGAAAAGAAGACATATCTGAGATTTATGCACTTAAATGCCACGTTCGATACATTGGTCAGAGAGATGTGCAAATGTATGCAGGAATTTGAAGTGACTAAAAAGATCGTAGAGGTAAGGGAGCATTTATAAGACGGTAATTGGTAGAGAAAGAATAAAAGGAAAAATTAACAAGTTTGAAGTGGAGTAAGGCTTGAAACAGGGAGATAGTCCAAGCCCACTTATTCTATTTATATTTTACATGGATTGCATATTTAAAATATCTTAAAATTAAACACCCGAAATAACAATTTGATACGTTAACCTCAGTACATCTACAGTCTAATTTTTGGAGACAACAGTACTCCTGGAAGAAGGAACGGAGAATGACAAACAAATGGAAGAACATAATTAGCAACATAGGCATAGAAATAAATACAAGAAAGACACAGTTAATTCATCAAAATTAATGAATAAGATGAAATATGCAAAGTAGGAGATGAACGCTAGAGGAAGTTACAGTACGAGGATTACTTGATTACAAAGATTAGCAACAATGGATTAACTGACATGGTGATATGTAAGGTGGAGGATGCTGGGTTGTTCCACAGCACATAGCCCCATTGTGCATATAGGACCTACCTCACAACTTGTCGTCTGCTGCTGGTTGTCGCTAGGGGTGTCTAGACATAGCCCCAGCCTCTCAGGTCAAAAACCTGCAAGTTAGTAGTGTCGCTGAGAGGTATCCCTAGATGCCCCATTTTTGAAAGCGTCTATTTGGTGCGCTTCTATCACTCTGATGGTAAATTCCCAGGTGAAACCATTCTGCCTGCCCGCACTCTCCACAAGGCATTCATTGCAAGTTAATCATAAATGGAGACATGAATATATTAAACAGAACATAAAAAATCGAAATAAATTTACTATGAAATTAACAGAACACTAATTAGAAATAAAGAAATAAATATCTTCAATAATAAAAAACAGAATGCACAAAGCAAGAGTGGTTCTAAGCCTAACCTATGGAAGTGAAACATGGTTCATCACAATAAACCCGGAAAATAAAGTAAATTAAACATTTAAGATAAAAGAGCAGTACGGATTCGACTTCGATAGAATCAGGTGCTTTTGAACAGTGTGATATATAGATAAAATCCAAACAGGTTTTTGTGTATTTCACTTTATTTTATTAAAATATTTATAAAATTCGGTAAGTAGTAAATTAAGTAAATAAATAATGGCAGAGGACGGGGGCGGTCCCGGGCCGCCCTTACTGGAAAATAATAATATAGATATTCAGGAGACAACTCAAGATAATGAATTTCGTTATGATCTAAATAATAAATACCAACTTAATGATATCGGTCCATTCAACGTTTTTTTAGAACATAAAGATAAGAATTTGGGAAGACTGTTTCCAATCAAAATAGGCTTTTATCTGCAACAAGATAAAGAATTACAAAACGATATCATAGACATCAAATCAGTAGGTCTAAAGAGAGTTAAAGTCATTTTTAAATCTTACAAAGTCGCAAATTCTTTAATAAATCATTATTTAGTTAAAAATAATGACCTGATCGCATTTATCCCAAAAATTTTTAATCATAAAAAAGGTATTATACGAACGGTTGATACATTTTTCACGGAAGAATTTATTAAACACGCTATTGTTTCAAATGTGCCAGTGGCGGAGGTTAGGAGATTAAAGCGCAGTCGTAGATGAAAACAAATCGGTACTTTATGTAAATAGGCAGATGGTAGTTGTAACTTTTGTTGGTAATAGAATCCCAGATTGCATAAAAATTAATATGGTAAATTTTCCAGTGGAACCGTATATACACCCAGTAGTGCAATGTTTGAATTGTTTACGCTATGGTCATGTTAAAACTCAGTGCAAACGTAAAACACGGTGCGGTAAATGCTCACAAGAACTCGATGACAGTGTCCCTTGTACAACAGAAAATTATTGTATTCATTGTACTAACTCCGAACATTCCTCCATTTCAAGAGAATGTCCCCATTACAAAAAACAATATAAAATCAAAGAAATAATGGCTTTTGAAAACGTCTCTTTCAAAGACGCAGAAATGATCTATAACAACCCATCATACGCAAAAATATCTACGAAAAATCGTTTTGCAATTTTAAATAATTTAGAAAACTTCCCTGAACTTCCTCCACTAAACCAAACAGCAACTAATGTAAACATAGTATCTAAACCTAAATATAAACTAAATGCCCGACCCTCACCCTCCCAACCAGGCAAAATAATGAATATTTCCAGTTTTATTATTGAAGCGATAAAAAACACTAAACCTTTAAATAATGAACATATAAAAGACTACATTAGTGAACTTTTCTATCAAATAGATAAAAATATCAACAATAGTAGTGTAAGTGATTATAATATAATACCAATAAGTGATGACGACGACCTATCACACTAACAATAAGTTGAATATATTACAGTGGAATTGTCATTCAATTAACGCTAATAAATCCAGTCTTTTGAATTTTATTGAACAAAACTCTTGTGATATAATTGTTGTATCAGAAATATGGCTCAAACCCAATTCCAATTTTTTTATAAAAGGATATAACTTTATACAGAATTGTAGAAATGATGGTTACGGGGGTGTTGGTATATTTGTAGTTAAAGGTATAGATTATAAAGAACGAAAAATAAATAAAACATTTAATAAAGGAATCGAAGCATGTGCAATAGATATTAACTGTGCAAACTTAACAATACTTTCTATATACAAACCTCCAGATGTCAAAGTCACTCAGCAAGACTGGGAAAAATTGTTCGGACAATTCACTAATAAAACAATTTTTTGTGGAGATTATAATGCACATCACCCCTCTTGGGGCCCAATTCCGGAAGATCCAAATGGTAGGATTCTCTATAATGCATTAGATAACCTTGATTTAGTTACATTAAATGACGGCACCCCAACTAGAATTTCCCCAAGCGGCACACAAACGGCAATAGACTTAACTGTTACTGCTCCTCGTTATGCAGACTTATTCAATTGGGAGGTATTACCAGACACATTGGGATCAGATCATTTTCCAATTTATATCGAACTTCAAATAAATCCGTCATCCTTTCAAATAAACCCTTCTACTAAATGGAATGATTTAAAAGCCGACTGGCCCAGTTTCCAAACAAGTATTATATCTTCATTTGAAAATCTGCCTTCTTTTGACTCCCTAAATGATTGTGAGAAAATCGAGTTCATCTTCGATACTATTAATTCTGCTGCAACAAACTCTATGCCCACTAAAAAACCATTTAAACCCACTACTTATAGGCCATTTTGGTGGGATGAAAAATGCTCAAATATGACTTCAATTCGAAGACAAGCATTAAATGAATATAAAAAACAATCAAATTATGTAAATTATCTGCATTACCAAAGTATAGCGGCAAAAACGAAACGGCTATTTAAACAAAAACGAAAATCCAGTTGGATTTCGTTTATAAACAAAATAAATAAAAGCACACCAATATCAGATATATGGCGATTTATGAAGTCAATAAATAAAAAAATCTCATACGTCCAAAAAAACTCAAATCCCAAATGAATTAATAAAAAAACTATTCGATATTTTAGCCCCTCCATCTGTCCCTGGTAACCTCTTTGGTCCTCAATTTATATTTCACTCTGAGTCAGATTATTTGTTGAAATCTTTTAGCTACTCTGAATTGGATTTGATTTTGAAAAACACACGAAATACAGCACCTGGGCTAGACGGGTTTACCTATAAAATTCTATATAATTTACCACCCATAGCTAAACTCGCACTCTTAACAATCTTTAACAATTGGTGGATGAAACAAGAATACACAGAAAAATTTAAAGATATAATCTGTCCCATACTAAAACCGCAGAAAAATCCTGATTTACCTTCATCATACCGTCCTATAGCATTAATATCGTGCATAACAAAAACATTTGAACGCTTAATCAAGTTAAGATTAGAACATTTCTTAGAGAGCAAATTATTGCTACCGACCTTTCAATATGGCTTTCGAAGAGGGAAAGGAACACTAGATGCAGTCTCTCATTTAGTGACAGATACACAAAGGTGTTTTGCTAAAAACGAATTCTTAATGTGTCTTTTTATAGATTTAAAAGGAGCCTATGATGTTG